CAGCATTCCCATGGCGCCGCAACTATGCATAACCGTAAGCAAGCCCTCCCACTGGTTGGGTCGATGTTAATGCCACTCACAGCCTCACATAGTTATCAATTTGCTTATTAGGCTTTAACCATAAGCAAAGGGTAAGTAAGCTTCTAAACACCTTATACTGATGGCAGTACTCCTTTGTCTGGTTGACTGTCTCACCACGAGCAATCACTGTGGTCTCCGGTATATTGGCCGAGTATTCCACTTCGCCAATATCACCACCATAGCACTATGTTAACATCATACCAACGGTAACCAATAAGCCGAAAAACTACACTCTTCACCCTGAGGCAGTTGCCCCTCTAGATTGAACTCCCCGTACGCCACAATGCGCCTTGTCCTACCATTCTCTACTTTCAATCCTCCGACAAAGAATGCATTTACACTAAGGGGTGCAGTGCAGGCCTGCGCTTTGACACCTCTTGCTCTTCTAATAGACCCCGCCCGCAGTGGAATGACTGTGCGCCTGTACAGCATGTCATGTTTGAAGTCGCCACCCCGGGATTATTTTTAGATGACAGGTAGAGTGCCCTAGTAGTAGTCCATTGGTTCGTGAGTTGAATAGCCTTGTAGCTCATTGGCTGGGATTTAAAGGAGTCGACTCGAGGCTCCAGTTGTCATGGACATTTAAACTATGTACCTTTTGTCAGTACTGCCTGTCGGTACCTTGTTCCGTCCAACGGCGGCGTATTTACAAAGGGACGCATTTTTTCTATCCACATGGCCCACATCCACTGCAGTATAGGGGAGGCATTGAATAACTTGAGTATTGCTGGGGAAGTGGACGTTCCATGGTAACTTGGATGTCAATTGCTGGGTAGAGATAACAAAACATCGTATAGTAGAGATATTAACAAAGTACTTAGTATGGACATTAAATTCTATAAAGTTAAACTTATATACTAAGGTAGTACCTTGTGTAGGGAGAGTTTATAAATGTGAAGATATGGGTTCGGGGGCACCCGCTACTGGTACTGCACTCAAATATATATATCTAAGTTTGGTAGTAGTCAACATCCTATATAAGGATTCAATCTCCCTACTTATGATATTCAATATTAATACCGTATAAAAATCTAATATCGATACTCTAATACTCGATATCTCAATTATATGAAAATAACATTATTACTACTCCCGATACAAGCATTAATATACCATGAGAATTCAAACCTCATATACAAGCGGTTTGACATTCGCGGGGATAGTGGCATTAGCACTACCGGCAAGAAACAACAAAAAGACAAAAAGACAAACAAATGCAGATCTGCCATAAGAAGGGAAGAGGCACCCCCTTCTATCCCGCGGAAATGCATAGAACCATTCGATGTCCACCGATTAGGCTCCCGCATTCCCAGCGTCTGCAGGGATACACCCGCAAGGGCACGACATTATTTCTATGGATGAACAGCCATCCAAGGATCTTCACAGTCCTCAACTCATCCTCAGTTCTGGGTTGGAATGATACACTTTATTCTTGTTGGCATTAACGTAGACGTAGCAGATAGAGTGTATTTAGTCTGCGCTTTAGGTCTTCTCGATCGTCGCTTTGTACCATGGGTCGCTGTTATCCCTGTTGCACGGCATTAACCGGTGTTCTACAGTCATTCCTCGGGGTTTGGTGGTCGGATTATCTGTCTTTAGGACAGGTGTTCTGCTGATGAATTTCTTGAATGAGGCTTTAGTAGGATTTTAGTAAGCTATTGATTTGATTATGTGTATATGGTAGTTTGTTGACTTGCTGGTGAGGATACTATCTGTTGTACTCGGGCGCTTTGCTTCTGGATAGCATATGGGTAAGACGCAGATATTCTCTCTATGTTAGAATTATTTGTAGAGGCTGGATATCAGTTGTCTTAATTTTATTGCCTATTAGGTTAAATATGGGAGGTATGATTCGCGGTGCCGTGGTGTCGTAACCTTGTCCAGTTATATATATATTAGCAGTTGGGCTACTACATACAGAGCATCCCACTTATGTACTGTTGCTCTTGAAATTCAATTAGAACATAATGGACACAATTACTTGTCACTTTTCAAACATTCATTATCAGTGTCTTGAGAACCCTGTAGGTCTAGTACTAACTGCTGCTATACGAGCGTGGGTTAAGACGGGACGTCTTCGTAGGAAGTAGATACAGCATAAATCTGCTTGACAGTCCGACAACCTCAAACAAGCTCCTTCCCATGATCGTTCTTCACATCAGCAACCTCCATGACCTCCCCGTCCCCATCGGCAAACGCCTGGTCTCCGAACAAGACGGCAATTTCCTCAAGAGTATGATTTGCAGTCTCCACATAGTAAAAGTAAACCAGACCGGCAGAGAAGAGGCAGAAGCCCGCAATCACCACGTAAAAGTACCCGTGGATACCCGCAAAAGCATCGGGAGACACCATACCGATGATAAAGTTGAAGATCCAGTTGCTCGTGGTAGCCAGCGCCATTCCCTTGCTGCGGCCGCGCAGGGGAAAGATCTCCGCGGGGAGAAGCCAGGGCATCGGGCCCCAGGTGAAGCCGTAGACAATGTTGTAGAGCATGACAAAGGCGTATTGGCCGTTGGCTTTGACTGTGATGTCTAGGTTGGCCTCGGTGAAGGCGCAGACGATACCAAGCAGAACTGCCATGGCGAGGCCTGGTTGATAAAACAGTTAGCTGGCCATATGGTTTAGAGAAGGTACCAAAGACTCACCTCCGAGAATGAGCAGAGGCTTCCGTCCCCATTTGTCCGCTAACCACCATGTTACGATTGTAGCGGCTGTATACGGAAGCGCGTTCGCAGCTGTGTACAGCAGGGATTTCCGATTGTCGAATCCGGCTGATGCAAGGGTGCTTGGAAGGTAGAAGGAAATGATGTTGATTCCGTTCAGCTGGGCAAACATCTGGACCGTGATTCCAACGATCGTTCGTTTGCGGTAACGGGTGAACATTTCCTGTTCATCGTGTTAGCCAGGTCGAAACTCACCGGAGCCATAAGAGGGTTGTCAGGCTTACCATCCAACTCGACTTCCCTAGGTTGGTTTCATATATGACTGCTTCTTGGATCTCGAGGAAAACCTGCTGCACGTGCTCCGCCTCCGTGTCACCTCCAGAATGCAAGTCCGCAACAGTCTGCAAACTCTCTTGCATAAAACCATTCTTCGCCAGCCAACGAGGTGTCTCGGGCAAGAAAAAGGACATGGCCAACAAGATAAAAGAGAGGATGATTTGCACGATGAACGGACCCTGCCACGACATATGGCCTGGTAAAAGGAAATTGAAACCGTAGTCCACCCAGCACGACAACATGTATCCTGCAATCAGGAATGTATATTCGATTCCTACCATGAGACCACGCCGATGTGGGGCCGCAATCTCCGTCTGAATAATAGGCACGGTCATGGACAGAAATCCGACTCCCAGACCTTGGATGGTACGTCCGGCAATAAACGTGGCGAAGTCAGGAGCGAATATTTGAATGAATGCACTGAAGAAGTAGATGAAGCCGCCGATGCGGACGCACTTCTTTCGTCCGATGATGTCGCCTAGACGCCCTGCAATGAGTGAACCCAGGGCTGCTGATGCTTGTAGACATGCGACTGAAATGCCCGTGATAGATGGGTCGACTGCATTCGTGGTACCATCTGCACCGCCATAGTCTTTGAAGAAGCGAGACACGAAGACGGGGTTAACCAGCAAGCCGGACATAATACCTATTGCCGTTAGCATTAGCAGCACTCCTGCCGTCCAGCTTATAGGTGACAATACCAGAGTTGTATCCGAACAATGCATCCCCCAGACTTCCAAAGGCGCATGTCGCATAGAGCAACGGCGCTCCCTTGAACGGATATCTGGCAGTAACCTTCTTGGGCTTGAGCTTTTTCTCCAGCCAGCCTTGTTGCTCTGCAACCTGCGCTGCCACAGCTTGCGAGCGGTCTTTGATGGCCGCATTGTGCGCCGTTGCCGAGGTTCTTCTGATACTCATGGCGAAACAAGAAACAGGGATACAATTCAGTTGTTAGATGCCGGTCATTGACAATTAGTCTCAACCAGGGTGGCAGGGCTCTATTTCTAGTTTTCTACCCCGGAGTGTGGACGGTCCCATGGGGAAGTTAGACTTTTCTCCAGGTCAAGGTGTAACCTGACTTGCAACTGTCCCACAACGCCATGTTCAAGTCTGCTCCAGACTTCACAATTGAGTCTCATCGCGGAACTTGGTCAGGGATCTCGTGCCTCTGACTCGGAGCCGAATAGTCATCCCGGAAAAGCTCTCATGCTCGGGATTTGTATGAAAACTTACTCGACGCAGCCAATCATCATGTAACCACGACCCGCAAGCACGCTCGACCACAGGTTGACTCCAGACGCCAACCGCAATGATTGGTCCCATCACTTCTCTAGTCCTACCGGTTCCGAGAGACGAGAAACTCTGAAAATTCACTGGCTTCGGTTCCGTGCCCGCAGAAAGTCAATTTTGGACTCGCCAAGTGCTACTCGGTTCCGGTCAGACAAGTCACGTGTGCACAAATCAACAAAGCCAAGGGTTGTAGAAGTTTTGATCTTCAACGATGCCAGCATCAGAGTTTGGTGTTTGTGATTTAGGAGAATAAGGTTTTAATAGAGACAGCTATGGCTTTGTTGGAATGTCTCCTCTCGGCAGGATGGTGGCAAAGACGACCGCTTCGGTCGCTATCTACCAGACATCAACGAAGCGATGTATTCTGCCATAGGGCGCGCCATTTTAGTCAATACAGACTTTATGACCGGAGCAGTAGACGAATACACAAACATCTGGATTCTGGAGTGGGTATCGGCCCGACTAGACAGACTCCAATAGGAACAACATCCGCCGGAACCGATGTACACGGAATCGGCACGCCATGGGGTCTCCTATGCCGGGGTAGGATACACCAACCGAGTGTCGAACGAAGTTAAAAACTGGACGAAGTCAGGAGAGCATTACTACATCAAACACACAATTGCAGAAATGACTGTCGCGACACCGAATCAGGTTGGTGTAGTCTTGGTCGAGTCTTTGTCCCTCCTGCTCACCTCAAATCACCCAGGCGGTAAACCAGGCCTTTGTTTTGCATCCCGGAGGTTCATTTCACTATGAGCAGCGTGCTGTACCTACCCTGGGGTCAGATCGAGATGTGCTTGTCCGAGTTGTAGCAACCGGCTTATGTGGTTCAGATGTGGGTGCATCACTCCCTTGATGGTCGGAGATCGCTTGCCAATGTTGAAAGCTAAAGATGTCGGATACATAGGTACATTACTGGCAGCACGGCCGTATAGGACGATATATTGTCGAAAGCCCAATCATCCTGGGTCACGAGTCATCCGGCATTGTGGTAGAATGTGGAAGCAAATCGGGGTTCGCTGTGGGCGATCGTGTCGCACTGGAGCCCGGCGTCGCGTGCAATACCTGCCGCCATTGCCGTGCGGGCAGATACAATCTCTGCCGGGAGATGCGCTTCGCCGCCACTCCTCCCTATGACGGGACACTTGCGACTTACTATCTCGTTCCAGCAGAGTCCTGCTATAAACTGCCTCCACATATCTCGCTAAGAGATGGTACCTTGATTGAGCCGCTCAGTGTGGCTGTACACAGTTGTCGGCTCGCAGGAGATATGCAGGGAAAAGCAGTCGTCGTCTTCGGAGCAGGTCCGGTCGGCTTGCTCTGTGTGGCCGTGGCGCGTGCGTTTGGAGCGTCAACTGTGCTCGCCGTGGACGTTGTGCCCAGCAGACTCGGCTCTGCGCTGAAATACGGGGCCACGCATACATACCAGATGACACCGGACTCCCCGGAGCAGAATGCAGAAGACATTTTAAATAAGGTGGAACTGGAGACAGGTGCCGATGTTGTGCTGGATGCCACCGGTGCGGAGCCTTGCCTGAACTGCGGTATTCATATCCTCGCTTCTGGTGGAACGTTCGTCCAGGTGGGCTTGGGGAAGCCGAATCCTTCGCTTCCGGTCGGTCAGATCTGCGACAAGGAGATCGTCTTCAAAGGGAGTTTTCGATATGGTCCTGGGGATTACCAGACCGCAATCGAGCTGCTCCACTCTCGTCGGATTAGACTAGATGGCCTTGTCACCCACGAATTTCCGTTCACTCAGGCAGAAGACGCGTTTAAGAATGTCGTCAGCCGAGCAGGGATCAAGAGTGTCATCTACGGGCCTGGTGTAGACGAACATGTAGCGAAAGCCACATTGACATAGAGTGAATCTGCGCCCGTTGCTGTAACTCATGTGACATTTCCATCCGTTTCCTAGAAACCGCTCATACGTCAGGCGAATGCGTAAAGCCTATGACTCCGTTCCATTCCATGACATATCCCATAGCCAGTATAACCCTCGTTCACCTGTCCCGTAGGTGGCGGTTTCCATTGCCCCAAGAGAAACGCTGGGGTCATGCCATTCATTCGGGGTAGATTGCTGCCATGCATCGTCTGGTCGTAACGTGTCCTGAACGGTGCCACGAGCTTGGTGAGTGTCTCCACTCGCATACCAGTTGAAGGAATGATCATCATTGCCGGAGGGAACGACTGGAGCCAAAGCCACAGATCAGCATTTCCTATCGCGAAGCTATTTGTCAGAAAAACGTAAAGTCTCTCACCGAATTGAACTGATGCTAAACTTTCGTTCAGGCGCTGAGCCCTGCTCTGGTCTGGCCATGCCGGCCGTCGCGCCGGGGCATCGAAAAAATCAAGTGTCGCGTCGAGGGGGAGTCGGAGGGTATCTTCCACCGACATTGGTGCAGAGTACATTAAAGACTGGTGACCTTCTTGTTGATTGTTGGTCGTAATTGGAGCCAGAATAGCCTCTGACTCACGGCGAAGAAGCAATGTGACCACATTCTTCAAAACCGTCGTACTCTGCTTCGACAATGCCGAGCGCTTTCCAAGAAGATCCTGCAGACGCAAGATACGAGTAATTGTCCGCTTGACGACCTGTGCCGTGTCGGAGAGCGGATCTGACAGAGCCATGACCGCCAACACAATTGCTGCGTTGAATAGATTTATGGCCAAGAAGGCAACCAAGTGACTATCCGTCGCAAGCTGAGCTAGGACTGGTAACTCAGTCACCCTGGATGTTCTCAAGGCGGCATTCCACCAGTGCACAGGACTTGTGACAGATGCATTCGGTGATACAGCATCAAATGCTGGGTCTCTTTGTGCTGGTGATGGCCCGCTCCGATGGCAGCCGGGGGAATCTATCCCGCCGCTTCGGCTAGCAGCGTGACGATTGGTCGATAGGTGATCAACTTGTCTTGCCAATAAAGGCCGGTGAAGGACGATGAGAATATTATCGTAGGTCAATTGCAGGGACAGCGATTGTAAGGCATGTGCCCTCGCACTGAGGCCACTGTCAGGCAGGAAATCCTTCTCGAGGTCTAGGACTAGATGCTCAGGTAATTCATCCCGCCATCTCTGAAGGTTTTGAGTCGCTTCTTTTACGAGCGCAACGTATGCGTCCCCCGCCAGCTCCTCGGACGAGCCTGACGTCCGCGAACCGAAAATTGCCTCCAGGGCAGTGGACGCCATAAGGTAGAGACGATTCAATTCCCTTTGATACGTGGAGTAACAGACAGTATATCCTTGCTCTGATCTCGGGACAACAAAGTAGGGATTTTCAAAAATATCCGCTGGCATGTTGAGATTGCAGTCCTTGTCGTTAATTCCTAGTGGTCGGCCGTATGTGATCGACGCAAATCGATCCCAGGTGTAAATGGTCCACCATACGCGTTTCCTTTCTTCGATATCCTCAAAGTTGCCCCTCGGGGGTTCACGGTGCAGCCCTGCCGCCTGGGATATCTTGATAGTCGCACCAAGTAGCGAGAAGGAGAGATTCGGACGCCCGTGATAGACGTGGTATGACCCGAAAAGGATGCATATCTGGGCCGCTGTGACGGAAGGTTGGTCCATCAACTCAACAATATGCGACTCGACGATCTTCAAGAGGTCTGCACTCAATTGTTGCCAATCGCCATTGTCGGTCAAATCAGTCGTCCTCCTTTGGGATCGATACCACGCCCCCATACCCAGTACAACTGCAAGGAGCAACAAGAATGATTTCTGGGAGGGATAGGCAAGCCCATCGGCTACGGACAGGAGTTTCCTGCGAAAGGTAGGTTCATAAATAGCAAGAGAAAACCAATGGACAGCATCAAAGTAGTCCTCAAGCAACGAGTGCATAGTCTCCGTCGGTGGTAAATCTTGCCCTAGTATTGAAGAAATGGGAAGCCGTTGTCCGAGAGCTGCGGTGCGCCGCTTGGCAACGCTGGTGCTCGCTCGGTAGCCTGGAATGGCAGAAGTGGCTTGCTCATCAATATGCTGCCTGCCAAGTTCGCAAATTTTTTGTACGATTCCCATGGTCGATTCTGCTTCACCGTAGTCGACTGCCGGATGTGTAACACGGCTGTCTGTAGCTATACGGCTGTCATGATTAGTAGCCCCGACTGGTGGAGCCTCGTTGCTGGTGCCATCAAAGCTCTCTGAGGGTTGGTCAGCGGCAGCTGTTGATGCAGTTCTCTGTCGCTCATGACTTCGCAGGGATCTCTTTGATCTGCTAACTGTTAGTTATCTAAAAAGAAGAACGAGAAGTTCCATTGGGCAATGATCTCGTCCCTAGCGACTTACTTCCGAGTGCTATCCCTACGGGTCCGACTAGCAGGGAGCGGTTGACAATCCACTTTTGCCCTTGCACAGAGTGAGCAAGGTCGGAAGGGATCGCACTGCAGATGAAGAGGTTGTACAATGTCAGTAATTTTTCAGAGAAGAGCACTAAAACCGGCCGATGAGATCCATACCCGAGTCTTGTGGCGGCGGCATCTCTCGCACGCACTGCTGACTCGCGTCGGCAATGGTGAGCGAGCGTAATGCAAGTATCCGCCAGACTGTAATTGATAATCTGCACTAAGCTGTTCCGATGGAAGTTCAGACATGATTTGAATCTAGACAGAAGGGAAGCCGATGCCGGTAGCGGACCGCAGAATGGAGAGGAACAGGATCCGGCGGAAATTCGCCCGTTTTTCCCCAGTTTGTTTCAGTTCTCTGCACCATGTGGGAGCCTGAGGCATGGAAACCGGACAGTTCCTGGTCATGTGACCCTTCGTCCAGGAGTATACTTCACATGAATTTTCAAGACAGTATAACAGTTTAAGATGTCCTTATTTACAATTTTATATCTTTTTTTCCGAGTGTCTATGGTCGAAAATCAATTCTAGATATTTAAGTGCAGAGAAGAGTAATCAATTCCGGCTTGAGTCCAACAGAGGTCTATTATGAAGTAACTATATAGAGTACCCGCAGTCCCGCACGTACACCAGGGCGGCTGGATAAAGTGGCGCAGATGTGAGAGCTACTCCGTACAGCAAGCGAAATTAAATGACAGATAATATGCTGTTAGAAAAACATTACCCAGTTTACACCGTCGACACACTTCACATATGAGATTTGAGGTGAGGTCTCAAGTATGATAAAACTGTGTCCTACTCATACAATGCACACACCAACACTACTGCGCTCTGGTTCTTCTACCAAACTCCGCACTTCAGCTAGATGTGCACTTACCTCTAAGAGGATCAAATTATGGAGAGATCATATTTTGAAAAGTATAAGACCCTAGACTGATAGGAATCATGTCCGGACACCTTTTTAGTCTAGTGGTATTATATTTCGATATCATAGAGTTGTGATATCAGAGACTGATTTAATATACTCATTCTGAGTGTCGCAGTAAGGCTAGATGCTAGCTATGTGAGTACGAGTTGAGCGGCTTACAATATACATCTCAAATGATGGCACAGCTGATGCAACAAAACCAAGAAGTCCTCTTGTCTGGTCTCATGATTAAATGCAGAAGTAAGGAGTGAGCGAGACTTGACCAACACAACCAGCACAAGTGAATGACTTCCGCCTGAGGTGTGTCCGAAAGATACTTGTTTGTTCACCACAACACTCAACAACAACCATGCTCATTCATCTCACTCACTCGAAGGGTTTTCCTTCTTTCTTCTCTTCCAACTATCACTTCTGACCTTGACGTTTTACGTAGGATCTTCGATCATGAATCTTCTGTCCTTACCCAACGAGCTCATCTTAGAGATGCGAAGCATCTTCAGAACCAATCTTGGCTTAACACGTTCACTCGCACAAACCGATTTATCTTCGGCGTAGTAAACCCGTCCATGCACCGCTACAATACAGATTACCCCCGGCACACCGCTCTTGCCCTTGGTGTTTGCCATGGACTTGAAAATGTTGTCCGAAGACCACTGGCTGCGAAGCCAGGCGATATCAACGCAAAATTCGGCTCGATCAGACCCATCTGCGACGAACCCTTGCACATTCCCCTTTGCTACGCAGTAGGACAGGGACAAATACGAGCGATCGAGCTTCTACTCGACGAGTATGGTGCCGATATTGAACAGCACTGTTGCAAATCAGTAACGATGCTGACCTAAGTTGCACATATAGGAATGCTAGACCAGACCAAATTACTCATTAGCAGAGGCGCGAACATCCATGCGGGGACGGAGCTGGATCCAGACCAATTCATCATGCTGCTTGGTCGGGTAATGCGGAATGTATGGCGTTTCTTGTCCAAGAAGGCGCTGATGTCCATCAAACCGCACATGGTGAGGCCTCAGGTGAAACATGGTCCTGCCTTGATTTGATGGTAATACGCGGTAAAATGTAGGGAGTCAAGCTTCTAGTGGAACAAGGAGTCGATATAGGCATGGTGCGGGTTCGAGGAATGATGCCTGTGAAAATGGCCGTGGAATATGGCCACTTTGACATCGCCTCGTACTTGCTTGCGCACGGGGCTAGAGTTCCAGAAGATCAAGACTTTTTCGTCTCCTGCGACACCCGCGGACACGCCGAGGGACTTAGGCTGGCATGGGATAAGGTTGTTTCAATAGACGACGAAAACTCGGAGGGCTCTACCGCCATCTTCAACGCGGTGGCGCATGTCGAGGCTGTCCGTGTGTTGTTGGGTCGAGGAGCCAGTCTTATCATCGAGAACGAACTCTGCTATACCTATTGCCGCCGCACATGGCCGCTGCCGAGTTTTGGAAATGCTTCTGGACCACGTTGATCGATTTGGCGACGACCGGATGATGAGTTATGGGAATGCATTTCAGCTTGCAATGCAGAATAGGCACTGGGACTGTGTTGAGGAACTCTTAAACAGGGGTGCCGAACTGAACTCTAAAATTGATGATGAATCGCCCCTATCTTGCGCGGCAAGGCTCGGCGAGGAAGAGATAGCGAGAGCTCTCCTTACAAAAGGCGCTGACCAAACACGGCATGGCGACGATCCGACTCTGCTGTTTTGGGTCGGTCGTCAGGAACTTGAGCGTCGACGTGCTCAGGCAACTTCTCGAGCTTGGTCTTGACCCCAATGCATACTCAAAAGCCCTCCAGCAGGGTCATCCGTCCATTCGGAAACATCGTAAGCGCTGGTACTGCCACCTCTGGCATGCGCAATGAGCCAGCAGTTTTATGACGAGGCGGAGCTTCTGATAGACTATGGAGCCGATCTACGCCCATCTACCGAAGGAAACAACACATTACTTTGGTCAACGCCGCTCGATCCATGAAGTGCATGTTGATCATCAAGGTGCTTGATCGCGGTTCGATGTGAATGAGAAGAGTGATGCTGGCGAGATGCCTCTCTCAGTTGCCGTGACTGATGGCAACGCGGAAGTCGCCGAGCTTCTCCTCTGTCACGGGGCGGACCCCAACATGCGCACAGGGCCCTTTTCGTCTGTTCTATCACTGGCCATTGCAAAGGGACACGTTGAAGTAGCAGACGTCCTTCTGAAGCACTGTGCGAAGGAAAAATGCAAGGAAATGGATGTTGATGAGGAAGACTATCTGGCCGGTATGGTCGAATTGCTGTCGTCTGCGTGATGTACCATTGTATCATATATTTGTCTTGCCGTTGCTTGTGTAAGAGACATGAAGTATATTCACAAATGCATTATCCACTATGCAATCTCTATAAACTAGGGTCTCATTCACCAATCACTCTACAGACATGCTTGATGGGGAAGAGCCAACTGCGAGATTGAACCCAACTATGAAGGTTATCCATTATCAATCTGTTATTAGATACTACATTAAAATATCAAAGTCTTCCTCGACAAAGGGTTTCTGAAATACTCATCTAGCCTTGTCTTCAAAGCGAAATAGCGGCAATCTTGCCAGGCTCCTTGTAAGTCCCACCTACCGGAGCCATGAGGCCCCCATTCGTGCCAACATACAGCGTCTGTCCCTCTCTATCCAACACACAGCATGTTGGCCCAGGCAGCACAGTCGAATTCCTGCCACCAGCAAAATCCACAATCTTGCCCTCAGGCGTATACTTGACAATCGTATTGTCCGGGTTCGTCGCAAAGTACGCCGTCCCATCGTCCATAATATCAAAACTATCCGGGTTGATCTCACTCGTAATCAACTCGAACGGCCCGGCCGCATTCGCCATCTCATCGATCTTCACCCGGCGATACTCCTTCTTCGTCACACTCACATAGTGCAGATACTCCCCAACCACATGGATCCCATTAACCCCCATCGGCGGCGCATTCGGCGCAGGCAGCATCGACTCATCCTGCAGCGCAACCGCATACTCCCCGGAATCTAGATCCACCCGCCAGATCATCCCGTCAGGACTATCCGAAATAAGCAGGTACCGCGCGTCATCGCGGGGTTTGTACAGGGTACTCGCGCCCAGCGCCTTCGCCTCGGGGATGTCGACTATCTTGCTGACTTCGCTGGGCGTGTTCTTGGTCAGGGTAAACTCCCCATCGCCCCACCATGGCACCTCCAGCACATCATAGTTGCCGTCATCGTTAAAGTCCATTCTCCAGACGCCGAAGGACCCTTGCTCGGCGGCGAAGCCCTCGAGCGCGAACTTGCCCGCTACGACGGCGAAGACGTCATGCTCGACTTCGCTGATGCCGAAGACGGCGGTGATGTCGTTGTCGCTGTCGCTGCTTTGCTGGGCGAAGGAGTAGGCTAGCTCCCCGGAGCCGGTTTTCGGGTTCACGGACCAGACTTCTGGGACATCGATGCGGGTGAGCAGGAGGGTGCCGTCTGGGCGGACGGCGACATTGTCGATGAAGGAGCCGTTGTCTGGGAATTGGAAGATGTCGCGGACAGTGGGGCTGGTGGTTTGGTCATCGGTGTGCTCAGTGGAGGGTTGGTTGGAGTTGGGGATCTGGAATGCGAGGGTGGATGTCGCGAGGGACACCAGTGTAAGGCCCTGAGTGAGATACATGATGGAATTTCTAGAGAGTGGTGATGATGGAGGTGGACGGAAAAGAATCGCGAATATGCGGGATGTATTTAAGCAGCTTATAATCAAAACATTGGGTCGATCACTGCTTGATGGGAAAGCCCCTTGCATTCCTGACCGTAACTATGAGGGGAAACTGGACAGACATTCCTTGGAGAAATTGATCGACATCAATTGAAATAGCTCCGCGGAAGTATGCAAGGCACAGTAGGTTCGCTTACATGAGGTTAGAGCAAGAGAAGTCACATTGTGGCATCAAACAAGGACGCAACTGACTGTCGTCAACCGTGGTAAATATGACTGATCAAGACCGAAAGAGCTTGGCAATATTTCCCTTACTGATTAATTGTGGAACTTCCGGGCCTAGACTAGAATATGTCTTTTATTATAGAATTATGAATTGAATACAGGATTCAAAAAGTGGCGACACGAACAGAACACTCTCGACAGCGCCCACCGGCCAGTTCCTAGAAGCAAGTCTAGCATGAGGCGCCAGCAGGAACGTTCTTGCACTTGGAGCTCTTCTTGCCGCCGGTGACACTATTGCCAGACCACGTCCAGTTGGTGCAGCTGCCAGAACCGCAGAGAATGTAAATATCAGTGGCGGAGCTGGTGACGCTACCGGTGACCTTCTCGAAGGTGATATCGGAGACCTTGACGCCGTTGGTGGGATTGCCAGTGGGCTTGCCGTTCTCGTAGTCCTGCTGGACGACAATACCGTACTTGGTGATACCCTTGAGGGAGACATCCTGGAACTTGACGCCGGTGACGGAGCCAGTCGCGCCGTAGACGGTCTTGATACGAGCACCGTTTTGGGAGTTGATGATCTGGGAGTTGGAGATGGTGACATCGTTGACGACATTGTTCTTGCGGCCGCCGACGGAGCCGATGGAGAGACCGTGACCACCGTTGCAGTAGCCGTTGGTGAAGGTGATGTGCTCACCGGAGTTGACGGCCAGGCAGTCGTCCTGGTTGTAGACGGTGGCGCCGTCAATGGTGATGTAGGTGCTGGAGCCGACGTCGAAAGCATCGGTGTTGTGGCCGAGCTTGGTACCGGCAGAGTTATCGATCAGGACGTCCTTGATGGTGAGGTGGTCGGACTGGATGCTGAAGCCATGGACGGGGATGTTGTAGACCTTCAGGCCGTTGATGTTCGACTTGTTCAGCTTGTGGGCAGAGAAGAACTTGGGCTTCTTCTTGCCACCGTTACCTCCCTTGCCGTCCCACCAACGAGCACCATCACAATCAATCTTACCACCAGGGTTCTGCTTGATGGTAATGCTGGTTCCGGACGCGGAAATCAAGGGGCCCTCCCATTCCTTGTAGCCGAAGGTGGTGGTACCGTCGAAGACGACCTTTGGCAGCACATTAGTCGATGGTATCCAACATACCAATCATGTGTAAGACTTACAGTGGTACCGGTCTTCAGGCCAGTCAGGTCCAGGGTCTCACCGGCGGGCACGGCGATGTTGTGCAGGGTGATGGTGGAACAGGAGGCCTTGCCGGACTTGAGCGCGGACGTAGAGGTGAAAGTGCAAGAGCTGCGCGTCTCGAGATCAGCGGCAGGTGCGGCAGCGACCAGCGCAGCGCCCATGGTCGCGGCCACGAGGGAGGATTGGAAGAAATGCATGATGGAAGAGCGGAAGTCGAGTGGTCGGACTGTGTTTAGAAAGATCGGACAAGGTTCTGGTCAACAGATACCCTAAATGTGATAGATACAATAGAATATGAAAGACGAAAGGAGCGCGGATGAGGAGAAAAAGGATGGATTCATCGTGAGGGTATCTGAAGCTTTATATAGGTGTTGGTCTGGTGTACGGATACTCCATATAGCCCAGCGGGCCATGACAGGGGCGTTCTAGAGGCTTTCACGGAAACTCTGATAATGCGGATCAAACCGAAGCGAAGATATACTATAGTGCAAGGGACAAGCTAAATTGCCGTTTGACCCATGCAGGAACCCCACCTGGTTGGGAACTGAGTCGTGAGATCCCTATAGATCCCTATAGTATTTGCACGCTGACACCAAACGGGAATAGATTCTTTGGCCCTCTCCACTTGGACCAAAAAGCTTCGCCGGTGTTTCCCAACGAATCCGGAAACTTGCCGAGACATTTAGCAGCCTCTAAGCATATTAGGGACTGTTTTTGACCCACGAGTCGTTTGAGAATGTCTTAGTGCCTCGACCGAACGAGTAATAGAGACTGTCCTTTTAGGGCTAACACTGGCTACTTTCAAGCGTGGATGCCACAAATGTTGCAAATAAACAGGCTGATCAACACCGGTTGATTAGAAATCAATCAATTGTGGCTACGTAGTCGTATCCGTCTGGCTCTCAGCCGGCCTTGCACCGCTACTCATGATGCATGATGCTCAGGGCGAAGAGGATGATGATGATTGGCGGATTATATTGCATTACTTCCGCTTGTTTCAGTTTCCGGCAGTAACCCGTAGACCCCATGGACTCCCAATAATACTGCCAGAGAGGAATTAGCCCTATATCTCTTAGCTTTCTTAGCTTTATCTACTGATTGTGATTGGTCCCGTGTCATCCGGGTGATTTGAGCCGACACCTTGGAGACGGAGTCCTCAGTCATCGAAGGCATTACCGAGCAGTTCCAGGGACAATCTTCTGACTCACGCATGGTCCTCTTCTCTTCGGGAACCCTTTTCGCTGGCTGTCCATATTTGACGAATGGTTTGACATAGAAAGACGAAAGACGGGTCATCAACTTCAACAGGTCCCCTTATGCAGGGTTTCAGGGGCCGTAACTCGTCCAATCAAGGCCATCAGTCTTCTTAATTCGGGGTGGATGGCGCCGAGGACATTTCCCCTTCAGGAGATGCGTATATTGCGCATTTCGCTTGACTGCCTGGACTCACGCTTGTCTCACTTCTTCTTTGCCCAAGCATTTTTCATAAGCTCAAGTCCTCAACTCGTGGCAAATCTTGGCTGAGAGCCGATGACTTCGGAATATTCCAAACAGTCTCCAGCCCTCCCCTATTTCCCCAGCCTTACTCTGGACCTGCATGAGCAGGGATTATTGGAGGTCTGGTCAAATTTGGGTTCCTGAAGGCCTCAGAAGCGTACATTCTGCTTGTATTCCATCATAATAGCAATGCTTATTTGCTGATTAGCCCCTGGAGCAATTTCAGAATTGAGGGGCCATTGTGGGCGCAGAATTCAAAGTCGATTCGAATATATGACTTGATGCTTCATAAATATCAACTCGGTATTAGGCAACCGGGTTTTGCGGTTCTTGGCCCGGCCGGAAATACGGCAAGCGCCCCTCATCCTTCTCATCGTTACCGAATCCACTTCGAATTCTCCTTTCTCTCTCACCCACAGGTTAGTTCTCGTTTCACCTACCATCGCCATCACAGCCATATCACACCAGTGACGATTCGTAAACACCACACCCGCGAACCCGACAATACACCACGAGAATAAGCACGAGGACCTGTACAGCTCGTGCGAGAGATGTGCGTATTGACGGGGAACAAGCTCGGGCTCAGCTCGGACGGACGGATGGTGCTGACAACGTTGGTAAACAGAACGAGAGAACCTCCATGGGACAAACGGGGTAATGACCTCTCGACGAAAAAGGTGACGTGCATATACGGCCATATCGCTATCTAGCAGAGCACGAACTGCTTGCTGTTCATGTCCCGGATTCCTGAAACGCACAGTTGTATCCCGTCTGACACAGTGACCGCCATGAAGGTACTGGCGAGGGAGAGACACATGCGCAGCAGACCGTTGCTGAGGGGTTGAGCTTTGTCAGGGCGTGGAACTTAGCTGAGATACTGTTTACTGTTCACCGGAGAAGAACTGCTGGATGATCAACATCGTTGAGATGGCGTTGTTCAAGACGCGCGGGCCTTGCTCGGTCGTCTTGATGTTGATCTCAGTGGATTGTGTGGCCTGGACACTGGCTGCCATGCTCAACGCACTGCGGGCATAGTATGCCGACCTCGTCGCTCCCACCAGAGTGAGGGATATAGGAGTAGACTGAACTCTGCAAAGACTGGGTACTTGGTTCCGTTCCAGAGGTAGGTGAGCCGCGTTTCCATGTTCGTTCAACTTGCTAGAGCCGATTATAAAATTCTCGACGTACTGGGCTCGAGTACACCGCATCCCAGTAGTAAGCCTTGCAGAAGGTTTTCCTGACATCAATAGGAGTATAGGCTGATGCAGGCGATTGCTGCGAAACCTGGGACTCTAACATGTACGCATCAAGGACTGACTAACCAATAAGACCTCTATCGTGGCCAACATACAAAATGCTTCAATTGTGGGTGCAGCTCGTATTCTGATACTAAGCCACATATAGATATGACATGTTTCTAAGGAATTAAAGCTGTAAGGGATGGATCTATGGATCTAGGACTAGACCAATCAGTGAGATTGACCTCCGACTCAGTCGAAATACGCACCGTTGTCGGCAACGGCAGTCAAACAAGCGGATCTCCGACTCTGTATAGCATCATCGGCTGTGCTGGTTCCTGCCAGGGATACAGCCAAAAGTCATAATTTTGCCTCAACGCCCAGCCCCTGGACAACAATAACATTGCATCGGTCGATAAACCTCACTACCTCTTCCTTCTCATGCCATGCATCATTGTATGCCGCACTCAGTGTCAGCACCCCCTTCCAGGTCCCCAGGAATAGGCCGAGACCCGTCCCCAGTTCCTCCCCAGTCACCCAAGGGGTATCCAACTCGAATGCCCCATGCGAAGGGCTAACCACATTGTCCACCACACCCAAACTGGAGATTGAGACTGACGGCGATTCATTCGGTGCCGGGACTGGGGGCGTGGCATCATCGTGCGGGTAGGGAATAGTGTTGCTGGTGTACCACGATGGTATCATTTGAATGTGATCTTTGTCCCTTCTCACTGCGTGGTAGAACTCCCTGACAGTCTTCGCGACCCTTAGAAACTCTTCTCTGTTCACCTCTGTCGGACTCGAGCTGTCGGTTATCCTCGGAACAGTGGTATCAACAATGAGCAGCCTGCATGAAACGGAGTGGTAGACTGCCGCCGCATGGAGAGGCGTATCGTACGGGCTCAAGCAATGTCCGCGCTCGTTGATCAAACTGTAATTGATATATCTGACTAGGCGTTCGCTATCGCGGCGTTCCTGAAGGTCGCGCACCGCCATCGCAATTGCTGCATGGTATGCATGCGTTACACTCAGGCCTAGCCGTCGACAGGCGCTGAGAATGGCTGTGGTTTGCCGAGCGGGAAGTGTGACGGCGACCCTCTGATGTTTCCCAGGGAGGTGTTCTCCCCTCGTAAAGGGAACGCTACCAACCTCTATACGATCCTGCTTCATGAACGCGTTGTATGCCATGATCGACTCGAATCTCTCCGTCTGCTCGGGAGACATACTTGGCTGCAGGCCCGCCGCTACGCGGAACGGGGGACTCAAGTTTGCGTATTCTATACCAAAACAAGGGAGAGGATAATCAGATCCTCGTTTATAGGCCCTTGCTGCGTGAGCGAACAAATTATCAAATAACATCAGTGTCCCAACGCCGTCGATGATGTCGTGATGGGCGCGGAGTACAAGATCCCCCTGGAGTAGTCCTTCGACGCGAGGAGACGGCCATATCAAAGAGAGAGTCGGTAGTTTAGGTACCGGAGGATCTGAATTGCACCATTCCAGCCCGGAGACGCCATTTGATACGGTGAGGAATGTGGTTTCCAGCCACGATTGAAGCCTATCTTGCCCAGCGGGAGATTCGTATATCTTTTTGCAGCGCTTGCGGTCGAAATCCCATTCTACCCAGGACGCAATGGTCGGGTGGTCGAAACGCAGATGCACCCATGCCTTGCGCAGGGCATTTTCAACTCTTCGTCTGGTTTCCTCTCGCGAAACACCGTCGTCTATCTTGACAGAGAATGAAACGAAGCCAGTGATGGCGAAGAAGTTGCGCCTGCTGCCTTCATACGATTTCGCCAGAGAGGTGTAAAACTGCTCGACCTCGTCGATGCCACGCTCCCAACGACCGGGGCTAAGTTGTTGCCATTGAAGATCTGTTTGTTGGGACATTTATGCGAAAGCACAGATACAATGTACAGCACGAGTCGACGGGGCGAAGTGCTGGATCTGTTCTTATATGATATGTGGACAGGGCTGGGCAGGATAGTCGGAAAACGGCCCGAAATACCGCCCAGCGAGTCATTTAAAGGAGGAGGGAGAAGAAGAAGTCACTGTTGACCTGCAGTGAGGCATCTCGTGCGTTGTTATGGCGCCGGGATAACCTCGGCGGTTTTGCGACCTTCCCAATCGGGTAAAATAGTCAGCAGACAAATGGCACGGTAGCATGGCACAGCATAAGCATTTGTCATTTGCCGATGATCATCTCATATATTAGGATGCTATTGCCTTGCAAAATATCTGGCAATCAGGCCTCCATTGCACCAATGTCTCATTGATGTCAATGCGGATTTACCCAAATCTCAGTCAACGCCCTCGCCGGAATGACCTCCAGCAACGCCTCCTCGACCCCCTCGGCAACCCTAACCTCTAGACAGCGACTCATAAACAACCCAGGCCAAAACGGCATCGACTCACTCGCGAGAGCCGGCTTAACAGTCTCAAACCCCGTCACCGACGATTTCCGCTTCTCCACTGTTCTCGACGAATCATAAAGCCTGGTTTGCTCCCCTCCTTCAACCACACATAACTGTCTCCCCTTGAACTCGAATTTGCGAGGGCGCCAGTACCCCGTTACCGGCACTTCGGTGACCACAGCGCCTGATGCTAGCCGGTGGGTTAGAGGCCGGCCAGTTATTGAGTCTATGTCTGGGTTACCGGGGGTGATGGGCGAGATGAACGTCTGGATGCATGTGTGTAGGGAGCCGACTCCCGGCGGAGAGTGAGATCTGAGATTGTCCGGCTTGATGCCTTGCATTATATACTTGGTTTCGTTGAAGCCATGGTCCTTGGCCTCGAAGGTGATGGTGTTCTCTTTCTTTTCTCCATTTTGGGTGGTGCTTGCATAGCAGTAGAAGATTCGGTGTTGTTGGGAGATAGTAGCGCTGGCCATTATGTTTGTTATCGGATAGGTATGGATGAAGAGCTTTATCTGAGGGAATATGAGGTTATTGTCAGCTGAAGATATGCCAAGCTTGGATACGGGGGAACCTCGGAAGAACGGTGATGGGGAATACGATGCGCGCAACATTCGCATTGGAAAGAAGTTATAGCATTAAGGACAGTCAAAGATCAAATACATAAGTTCAAGAAGTAGATGAAGAGTAGAAATAAAGTGCCCATGTTCAGCATGCCCTCGTTTGTGGTTACGAGCTTCCGCGTCTCCATCTTATCTCAGCTACAGACACTGAGAATAGTACGCGTTCTGCACTTGGCAGGTATAAGGAGAGACACAAGTAGTCGGGCCAGTCCAGTCCTGGCCACCACACTGGCTATAGTGCTGCGCCACGGCAGTCGAGGTGCTCGTTGCAGCAGTGGTCTTGGTGGAGGTGGTCGAGGTCGAAGCCGAGCCGGAACTTCCAGAGCCAGAGCTTCCAGAGCCAGAACCGCTGCTGAAGGTTGATCCGATCGGACCAACTTTGATGTTCGAATAGGTCACATACGAATCAGGACTCTCGGATTCAATGGTGGCGGGGACACCGGAGTCGGTCGAGCAGGAACCACGGACAGCACCTGGGGTCGACGAAGACGCATTAGTGGGATAGGTGCTGTCAAGCCAGAGCATATCCGCGTAGTAATCGTCCCAGAGCGACATGACCAGTACCATACCGGTAGACATGGCCTCGGACATGGCGGAAAACCCACCGTGCTTGGCAAATGTACCCGGCCCGTCAAAGACAGTATTCTCGGCAGTGCAGTAGTCAGCGTTTATGGCGTTGCCGGTAATACCACTGATGTCTGAGTCAGGCTGGGCGTAGGTAACGCCGTTCTGGACATAGTAGCGGCGGATTTCAGACAAGGTGCCGGTATCGGTGCCGTCATCTGTAATGAACTGCGTCACCACGGTGAAGGGCGAGTTGGTATCGATTGTCTTCCCGGGGCCGTAGAATGTGGTATTGCCCATGCGGTAGGGGTTGAAGTCGCAGCCATCCGGGTCGCAAGTGCCAGCATACCGATCACTGCTATATGTGCCGCCGCAGGCATCACCAGTGCACATAGTGTTGGTGGCAGTATCACATGGATGAGGTGTCAGAGCCTGAGAGATGCTGTTGGATTCCCAGATGTCCAGCTCGGCGCAGCAAGATCCATAATTGCCCAGTCCCGTGTTTTCGTTGTTGGACGACGGAGTCCAGCCTTCCACATTTGCCTGGCCTTGGATAAATTTAAGATCGCGCGGACATTGAGAATCGCAATATCCCACGCCGTATTGGGCTCCAGCCTTATTATTGGGGTATTTGGAGACACCGCCATCTTCATCCATGGTCACAAAGTAGAGGGCCCCGTTCAAGCCACAGGGGAGGTTGGACACGTCCACGTCAAAGGTGAACTCCTGGTTCAGTAGCTTGAACATCTGGTAGTGTGTATTATCCGCCATCATGTAAAGACGGGAGCCGACATTGGCACCATTTGAGTTCTGCGTCACAAAGTTGAGGCGGATCTGGCTGCCGCTGGTGGTGACTCCGTAGGTTGATTCGTAGTCTGCTCCGTCAACCGCACATTCAGTGGCACAGGTCTCGTCGGTATCGCAGATGGAGGTATCCCAAGTATTGCCAGTATAGCAGTTGGTGGTGCTGCCAACCTGGTGGACCCATCGCCAGTTCGCATCCATAACGACAGAGCCCTGGTTGGTGGCACAACTTCCACCGCTAGTGCAGGTCTCCCATGTCATCGATGGATGGGTCTCAGTGGTGTATGTGCCGATCTGCTGCGCCTGCGTAATAGACGGCAGGAAGGCAGACAGAATCAATGCACTCCTGTAGACTTGGAAAGAAATTGCGGATGCCATTTTGATGGTCTGATGCTGTTTGGCACAGAGATGATAGACATTTTACTGCAAGCTCTCGACTGCCATTTATATCTTCATTTCTTCCCTGTGAATGCTCGAGGATGACAAGAGCATCTACTGAGACGGGTAACAGGACCGCGAATCCGTTAAAAACTGCCTGTAACCGCTGGTCTCGACGGTTATCACCGTGATGGAAGCGGTTAGAGGTTCATAGTCCTCTCTCCGCCTCAAGTAAAAGCATCTTGTCCTCTCGCTTGCCGATTACTTCGTGCAGCAGGACTCACTGCACACCTGCCCTTGTCGAAACAGGCAAGTGACGGGAATCCGGGGCGATATCCTGGGGTAATTCTTCACTGCCTAAGTAGTCTCGGTACGAAATGGATGCAATTGTCAAGACAGTGTCATGATTCGTGCGAAAACGGGCGACATCGTCCAGCAATCTGTTAGGCAACCTCTAGGGTGCCTTGTTACGCCCCTCAATCCGCTAGAATCATGTCCGAATCCTCCTTCACGGGTGCATCTCGCAGGTGTACTCCGGTGCCTGAACGGGATCCGAAGGGTAAGACACAATTTTCCAAGTGGCCGCACTGAATCCTTCTCCTCACTTAGATACGTACGTCTGGGGAAGGATAGATTAAGCTGATATTGCTCTCTGCACGGATGACGCGGCCCCATGCCACAGTGAATGCGATAATGTCAATCCCTGCGAGCGAAAGGGTTATCGATTGGACTAAATCAAGTCCACCAAGCTAAGTCGATTTAAACCTGAGACAAAATAGCTTGATCCTGCCGGCACTCGGCTCCGGCAATTAATAACGCGTGACGATTTCCCCGCGCAGATGTGATATGCGGAGCAATTGATCAAGACTTATGCGAAACGTTGTATGGAATTAATATGTGGAGAAATCTCTGGCTCCTCGTTTCCAGAAGAATCACGGCCTGTCGGGCCGTCTCTGAGGAATTACTTTCCGACTGCCGTTCTCTCTACCAATCTGTTGTGGATGCAACCACGATGAGACGAATGCACTGAGAGAATCTCTCGCATCGTACTTCGAGGAGAAGACGAGTAGTAGCATGAGCTTGATATGTCTCCGTGCCGGAACGGGACAGGAATACAACTGAAGGCGAAGTTTTCACCCTCGGTCCAGTCGTCCAATGATTCCATATAAATGAGTGCCTCTCTCCAGTTTGAAGCTCAACTCCTAAAGCGTTTCCAAACATCAAGTTCCACAATGAGGTTTACGCAGCTCTTCATCGCGGTCAGCACGGCAAGCCTTGCTCTTGCTGCACCCCCTAAGTCCAAAACCAAGAGAACCTCGGCCTTCCAATGTAAGGGACCCATGTGTATAACCAGCTCATTCACTGACTTCTGCAGGGTTTGGCTGCAATGAATCCGGAGCAGAGTTTGGAAGTGGCAACATCCCTGGCGTCCTGGGCACAGATTACATCTGGCCCAACACGACCGCCATTGGCATCTTGAGGGAAGCAGGGATGAACATCTTCCGTGTGCCATTTCTCATGGAGCGTCTCGTCCCCAACAACATGACTGGAAGCCCTGATGCGACGTACATGGCTGATCTGGTTTCGGTATGTCCATGCTCAAGTGTATGGCCATTGCTGACGAGTCAGACCATCAACTACATCACGTCCACCGGCGCGCACGCCATCGTCGACCCCCACAACTTTGGCCGATAGTAAGTCTAACCTCCCGCCTGGAATGAAGACACCAACTAAGAGAACCAGCTACGGCAACATCATCACCTCGACCAGCGACTTTGCCGCCTTCTGGACAACCGTCGCCACGCAATTCAAGGACAACGACCTCGTCATCTTCGACACCAGTAACACTCACCCCCAGCACCCCTCGTTAAGGCTTTAACTAACCCATCCAGACAATGAATTCAACGCCGAAGACCAAACCACCGTCCTAGATCTCAACCAAGCAGCCATCAATGCCATCCGCGCCGCAGGCGCCACATCGCAGTACATCTTCGTAGAAGGCAACTCCTGGTCCGGCGCCTGGACCTGGGATTCTGTTAATGACAACCTGAAGACACTTACCGACCCCGTCGCCGATTCCAACAAACTCATCTACGAAATGCACCAGTACCTCGACAGTGATGGCTCCGGCACCTCGGAGTCATGCGTCTCCGCGACAATCGGGCAAGAGCGTCTCGCCTCCGCGACGGCTTGGCTGATTGCTAACGCCAAAAAAGCGTTTCTGGGTGAGTTCGCTGCAGGCGCGAATAGTGTTTGTGCGAGTGCGGTGACCGGGATGTTGGAGTATATGGAGGCGAATGCGAATGTTTGGCTTGGGGCGGAGTGGTGGGCTGCTGGGCCGTGGTGGGGGGATTATATCTATAGTATGGAGCCGACGGCCGGGATGGCGTATGAGTATTATCTGGAGGTTTTGGAGCCGTATTTTCCTGGGGGGAGTTATACGGCGACGTCGACGGGGACGGGGACTGCTACGGCGACTGCTACGAGTACGAGCTCGACGACAGCGGTAACAGGGACGTCCACTGCAGTTGCGCAGCATTGGGGTCAATGTGGTGGTCAGGGCTGGACGGGGCCGACGGGCTGTGAGTCCCCGTATACTTGCCAGGTGCAGAACGCCTATTATTCGCAGTGTTTGTAGGTGATTGTTGGTATGGTTGCCAAGGAGCAACCAAGTGATGTTAAGTCAGTCTCCCCTCTGTGCTTACAGGATATGCCTAAATGCATTCTAATACTAGTGAATTGTAATTCAGTGTACTAAGCTACTCTAAAAATGGACTTTGTTATCTGGTCTGAGACTCTGAGCTACAATTGTGATCAACATAGCTCGTTGCTGGGAGTGTGAATGATTCAAACGGTAGACTAATGGCCATGATTCTATCTATACGTAGAATACTCTCGATTCTACAATCCATGCACACCTTGGCGACATATCAAACGGTTGCGTAGGACAACGGTACTTCAAAGCATGATTTCAGATGGTTGATAAGGCTTTGTTTCCGCTTGCTCCCTCAGAGATTGTTCCCCTTCATTTGCTGCGCCCGAGGTAGTCTGGTGAAACGGAGCGTGGCTGTTCCGATAACCTCCCAATATGTCATCGGTTACAGGCA